AGTTAGTTGTGAAACAGATCACTTGTCCTGAGACTGAAACACTTTAGAAACAAGTTACATTAAATGTAGGGTTTTTATGTTTGTTTTGTTTTACATTTTAAAGTCTTTGAGTTTGGAAGAAATACCTGGTAACCAGCATGACTGAGTTCTGGCTTATCTCGGCTCCCGGGGAGAAAACATGTCAGCAAACATGGGAGAAACTGCATGCGGCCACCACAAAGAGCAACAATCTTTCTGTGACTTCCAAGTTCAACATTCCTGACTTAAAGGTAAAGCTGTCTGTTTCCAAAAGAGCCTGTTTACTTGTCACTAGGAGGACCAGTTCTCTTTGCTTGTTGTTGTTAAGTGCTATCAAGTTGGTTCCGACTCCTAGGATCTTGTATGGGGTTTCCGAGGAGTGAGGAGCGGCTGGTGAGTTGGAACTTTGGACCTTGCTGTTCAAACTGACCTTGAAGTCTAGTGCTTACGCTATGCTCTCTTTGCTTAGTTTTCAGTAAAAATGATGTACCAAGGTTTCTAGATGAGAAGGGCACCTCTCATTTTTAGCCACTGGCAGAATTTAAGACATTTATTGACCATTCCAGTCTTCAGATTTTAGATAGTGAGAAGATTGAAATTTTTTGGAAGTAAACTTCCAAAAGGAAATAATTTTGTTTTTGCTACTTAAACAGTTTTGTGTTTTTTTTCTAAATTATGGTTTAAATTGTTAAGAGAAATCTTATGAAAATATTTGATATTTTTGCAGAAGTGGCTGGTGAGCTTGAACCACTGACATTGCAGTTAAATCTGACCTTGCAGTTCAGTGTGGTACTGTAGGATAAGTACTGGACTGTTAACCACAAAGTTGGTGGTTCAAACTCATCAGTCTTTCCTTGGAAATCCTATACAGGGTCTCTATTGGGTTAATGTGTTGGACTGCAAAAATTGGTTTGAACTGCAAGGTCAGTGGTTTAAGCTCACCAGGCTCCTTGGAAACCCTATACAGGATCATTACGGGTTGGAACCGACTTGACGGCACTTAACAACAACATGAGCCAGGACTGGCTTGATAGTACTTAACAACAATCATGCTTGGCAGTTGTAACGTGATTCCTGGTGTGGTGTTATAGGATGGTGGTTCAAACCCACCAACCAATTCTAGGAAACCCTTCCCAGGGTCTGACTCGACTGCACTTAACAATAACAATAACAGCAGTGTTGTCAATGTTTTGTGATGGTGCTGGTGGTTATGTGCTTCTAGTCGGTTCTGACCCATAGCAACCCTATACAGGGTTTCTGAGGCTGTACATTTTTACAGGAGCACAAAGCCTCATCTTTCTCCCGCGGAACAGCTGGTAGTTTCGAACTGCTGACCTTGAGGTTCGCAGCCTGATTCATAACCACTACACTACCAGAGATCCTTTAGCTCTTACATAATCATATTTGGCAAATCTAATGTAGTTATTTAATCTAATTAATGTGTTTAACATTACTAAAGATTAGTAACCTAGCAATATTGAAGAGAAGCAAGTTGCCAGTAATCAGCTGACTGAACCCTTTGTAAAGAATGGAATGATCTTTTGCTGCTTATGTTAATTAAGTGACACAATCATAGGCAGCACTGATTTAAGAAAACTTGATTACTTGTTTCTTAATATTTTGGGGTTATGGAGTCCTTTGAGACATTGATATGAATTGTGGACATTTCTTCAAAAACCTGTACAGTTTGGCATGCAAATTCAGTTACTGACCTTTTGATGCGCCCCAGCTTCAGACTGTACATAAGAGCCCCTCCTGTAAATCATGGCTTCCAGGAACCCACTATCTCTGAACAGTATAAGCAGACGCACAGGGCTGCCTTTGACGAGTCTCACGTCACATAATGGAGGCAGCCATGATTATTTTGTACAGCCATGATTATTTTGTACATATGAATAAAATTTAAAAGTCTAACAAACGTTTGGTCTTTTAAGCACAGCACGGAAATAATTTTTTGTGCTGTTTTTCTCTTTTAGGTTGGCACACTAGATGTCTTGGTTGGTTTGTCAGATGAACTGGCTAAACTGGATGCATTTGTAGAAGGGTAATGTACTCCTTCATTTGCTTCCTGTTGTTGTTGTTGTTAAGTACCTTCATTTGCTTAGAGTAGCACAAATAGAGCCAGTGTTACCAGGCAACGTAGACATTGGTTTTATCATTCACATGTATACTTTGCTTATTAAAATGGTTTTAGAAAGTGGTTGTTGTTTTGTAAGTCAGCTTTATTAAGAAGGTGTCATTTACATACAATAAAATGCTGAAAACAGATGCATTTTAATGTATGCAAATTATACCTTCATAAAGTTATTAATATCTAACTGAAATAATTCATATATCATGCAATTTACCTTTTTGAGGTGTACAATTCAGTAGATTCTAGTATATTCAGAAGAGTTGTGCAACCCTTTTTATAAGATTTTCATCTTCACTCCAAAAACCCTGTACCCATTAACAGTCACTCCATCCTTCTCTCACATACCTTCTTGGGAGAAGTGTCTGTAGTTGTGGCAGTTTGGTTTCTTCTCTAGCATAGTTCCTTACAAATAGTAGATGCTCAATAAATAGTTCTTGAATAAACAGTGTTTGACGTCATTCTTTATCTTTACTGTTGTCTATGTTCTCTTCCCTGTCAGATCTCTTTTTCCCTAAAAGGAAGCAAGGTGTTCCGCATATACTAATAGGCTCTTGGTAAATGCTAATTCCGGACTCATTTATCTTACAATTAGATATATTGTCCAGCTTTTCCTCATATAATATATGTCTGTTTACAGACTGGTTCTCACTAGTTTCCCATGACTTTCTTTCCAAGTAATAAGCACATTACATGTAATCCCTTTTAAACCCAATGAATTTTCATTAGTTTTTGTATACAAGAAGACTTGGGTCCATTTTACTTTTCAACTATTTTGTAGACAGTAGGACTAATTAATTAATTCTGTAAGTATGTAAATAAAATGTATAGGTCATCAAGTATCATGGGCACATATATAATCAAATTCATGTCCTAATGTAATGTGTTAATTTAAAAATATGGAATTTAGGTCTTTGTTCTGAAAATGGTTGTTGATTTTTTTCTTTTAAGAGTGGTTAAGAAAGTGGCCCAGTATATGGCGGATGTATTGGAGGATAGCAAAGATAAAGTTCAGGAGAATCTGTTGGCCAATGGAGGTAAGTACTGTTTGATTTAATAATCATTTACTTAAACTGAATGACTTAGTTACAAAAACAAAAAGTAATTTTATACATACTGTGTTAAGTGCCATCGAGTCAGTTCTGACTCAGAGCAACTCTGCGTAGGATTTCTGAGGAGTGGCTGGTGGTGAGTTTGAACTACCAACCTTGCCATTCAGACTGACCTTGAGGTCTAGTGCTAGTTGCAGGTCCTACAGCACCACATCGGGACTCCAAATATACATATACATATGTAAGTGTGTATGTATGTATGTATGTATGTATGTTCATGTATATTTTTGTTGTTGTGGTTAAGTGCCATCAAATAAGGTCCTACTCATAGCGCCACACAGGAGTCTCTTTCTCTCTCTGTGTGTGCGTGTGTTTTATATATATATTGTTTTTAAGTACCATCTAGGTGGTTCCAACCCATAGCAACCCTGTATAGGGTTTCCAAGGAGCAACTGTGAGCTTGAACTGCTAACTTTATGGTTCAACGTGACTTGTGGTCCAGCGCATTAACCCACAGTGCCACACCAGTACTCCATATATAAATATAGATATATACACATGCATACACAAACATGTAAGTACAATAGAAAGTCATCATAATTTCTTTGTTATGACTGAATTTGGTGTTTCTGGTAGTTAACATCCGATTCTCGAAGCACAATCTCATGTAAGACAGTCTTACATAACACAATGTGGTTAATGATGTGGATGTCAAGTCTTCCTCAAAAGCAGTGTTTTAAAGCTTTGCCCTACTTCTTTCTGGGATTTATCTGTTAACACACAAATAAATGTCCAATTTACATGTCTCAGCATTGGTCCAGTTGAAATGTGTTGTCTTCTCCAGTTTTTCATAATTATTAAATGTATAGCTGCTGAAACCTTGTTAATTGTTGTTGTGTGTCGTTGAGTTGGTTCCAACTCATAACAACCCTCTCTAGGGTTTCTAAGGAGCAGCTGATGGATATGAACCATTAACCTTGTAGTTAACGTAAGTCAGTGCTTATCATCCAGCGCCGCCCCAGGACTTTGTAACCTTAGTATAGTGGTTTATGTGCCGTTGAGTCGGTCCCAACTCACAGCAACCCTTTATAGGGTTTCCAAGGCCATAGATCTTCATGGGAATAGAAAGCCTCATCTTTGTCTTGAATAGTGTCTGGCAGATTGAACTTGCTGACCTTGTGGTTAGCAGCCCAACTCATAACCCACTAAACTGCTCGAGCTCCTTAGGTTAATAAAAGTATCACAAGTGACATCCGACTTATATCTGAGTCTTTCAGTCCTGCCAGTCCATTTAAGTTGGTTCTGACATAGTTGAATACTTATTTCTTTTTTTTTCCTTCCAATATTAATACCATTTACTATCAGTGTCTATATAAATACACTGTTTATATTTGGGGACTGGAAACATTCCATAGAAATTTATAGATATGACAACATCTGCAAAGTATGCACTACAACATGGTATATGTTGTGTGTATTACTAACTATGATGATGTCAAATGCTGTCAGTTGGTTCCGAAGAGCGGAATGGTAGGTTTGAACTGCCAGCCTTGTGGCTATGCTTATCCTTCAGCACCACACCAGGATTCTACGATAAGATGTAACCCCTACCACCCATCTTCTCCTTCCCCCCTAAACAAGTGTGGTTTGTTTTAACTGAAGACTGCTGTAATTTGATTGCAGGGCAGTGCTTCCTCTCCTTAGAGTTGAGTATGGCAGTGCTTTAGGACTCAGAAAGGAGCTTTGGTGGTACAGTGGTTACAGTGCTCAGTTGCTAACTGAAAGGTCAGCTGGAGCCCTGCAGTCACTCAGCAGTTGAACTATGGATCAGTCTGCATCTGCCTTGGAGACCTTTTGGGGCAAGTCTACTCTGTCCAGTAGTAGGGTAGCTGGGAGTTGGAATTTTAGCTCAATGTTTCTTCTCGTTTTTTTTGTGGTTGTTGTTGTTAACTGCCCTGGAGTTGATTCCGACTTGTAATGACCCTATATAGGGTTTCTGAGAAGCACCTGGTGGGTTCGAACTGCCGACCTTGTGGTTCTCAGTCCGGTGTTGATCCTAAAGCACCACATTGTTGTTTTGTCAGCACTCATAAACTATTATAATACTGAACTCTGTTAAGTCAGTTCTGTGTAAGGGTTTCGAGGAACAGCTAGTGGGTTTGAACTGCCACCCTTGTGGTTAGCAGTCCAGTGCTCACCCTACAGCACCTCACTCAGACTCCTCTCTGTAGCTAGACATGAATGTTTGTGTAGAATCTATGCTGTATTAATAATGATTTTGTAAATATGGCTTTAATCTTACTGTTGTCATTTACATTTGTGTTTGTTATATTTTTATTAGCTATCATTTTAGCATTTGCTTCATTTTAAATTATGTCCATCTTTAGTGATTCATGTCATTGTAATATAAATAAGCCTTTCTTTTAATTGGATACTGTATTTCCTCCTGTGATATGGTTAACTATGTTTTAAATATTTGTTGTTGTTGTGTGCTGTCAAATCAGTTCCGAGTCCTAACAACCCTTTACAGGGTTTCTGAGGAGTGACTGGTGGATTAGAACTGTTGACCCCTCGATAAGCAGTCCTGAACTTATCCTACAGCATCATACCAGGACACCTTATGTGAAATATGTTGTTGTTGAGTGCTTTCGTGTTGGTTCCGACTCATAATAACCCCGTATAAGGTTTCTGTAGAGTGGCTGGTGGGTTTGAACTGCTGACCTTGTACTTGGCAGTCCAGTGCTTATCCTATAGTGTCATCCCAGGACTCTTAAATACAGTGTTCCTTTAATATTAGTTCTTTTTGCAATATGTTCATTAAATATTTAATCAATGAAAAGATAGTAATTTATTGTTGCTCTTTGACACAATGTTCCTGACCTACTCTTTTCCTGTGTCCATTGATTTGGGTTTGGGAACAAGAGAACAGAAGGGAGATATGTTAACTTATAATGTTTCATTGATGGAGGTATTTGATGAACTGGCAGTCAGTCTGGTAGATGAGACAGTGTTGACAATGTGGGACAATACATCGACAATGACTTTTGGAATGTCATCTACAGGGTTGACTGGGTGTATTACATAAGAAGTTGAGGAAAAAGAGTTTCTTGGTTATGAATTTCTTAGTCAGTTAGTTTTGTCATACTTAACGTTTGGTTTCTCTGACCTTGTTCTCATCAGATTTAAGATAAAAATTATCTTGATTCCTAAACATCCAAATAGTTGAAGTGTTTCTAGCTCGCCATCTGAAAGCAAATGGCTCTGTGTGTTGAAAATTATTGAAGTGTGTTGTTAGTTGCTGCTGAGCAGATTCCACCTGACGGCGGTGTAGAGCTGTTCCACAGGCTTGGCTTATGGGAGCAGATTACCAGGCCTGTCTTCTGAGGTGCTTTCTGGGTGGATTCAGACTGCCAGTCAGCCAGCGTAGAGTCAGGTGCTTAACCATTTGCACCCAGTGTCGGCTCTGCCCAGTGAAGGCTGCTAGCAGCAGTCATCACGTTCTTTTAACGAGCAGGTTCATTTTCATTTTGTTTGGGTAAATTGGCAAAGAAAGAGCATAACTTTTGTCATTGTCTACTTTTTGAGAAAACAGTTTGAATGAGCTCATTCTCCTATATGTAAGGCATATCATATGTATGTGCATATTCCATTTATTAAATCATTAAAATTGAAGTGTCTTATTATGTATGTTCAGTTTTGAGGCAGGAGTAAAGATCTGACAAGATTACAAGGTAAAAGTTTTGATTAATCAATGGTACTTAATATAGTTCCACATTTATTTAATCAGGGCTCTTCAGATAAAATCTTTGCAAGTTATTTTCAGCATTAAAATGTATTACTGTTTAAAAAATTCCATTGCTTCATCTAATAATTTATGTCCTCATTTCAGTTGACTTGGTTACATATATAACAAGATTCCAGTGGGATATGGCCAAATACCCAATCAAGCAGTCCCTGAAAAATATATCTGAAATAATTGCCAAGGTAAGAGTGAAATTTAGGCAGGGAGAATGCATTTGTTTCTTTAGTGGATTCATTTTATAATTATTTAGATATGAAGTTTTTTTTAGGTTTTTGACAAGGTGCCTTAATTATCAAACACTTGTTGTAATGTTGTTACAACTTTATTGAAAAAAGGTATTTTAAAATATAATCCATAGGAATGCAAGCTGTCAGTGGTAGCAGAAACTGTGTGCTAGGGGCTGGGAAGGAGAGTAGGTTGGAACTCTGTACTTCATACACACTTCCTTAAATTTGAAACTGTTCTAAAAAATAATTTATTACAAATAGTGTATTTAACACTTTCAGGGGTTAGGTTATCTAAGTTATGTGGTTTACTTATTAACCTCATTAACTTTTAAATATTACATCAACAATTTTAAACAAGAAAAGTCACTTTCACAATTGTATAATTATTGTTTATACAAGCCTTAATGGTGCCAGAGATCACATAGACTGGAGAATTGGAATCCTTTAGAGGGGTGTGAGTCATTTCAGGTAGAGTAGATGGTAGTAGTCATTTCAAACAAACAAAACCTAAACGCACTGCTGCTGAGTTGATCCAACTCCCGGTGACCCTTTCGGACAGAATAGGACTGCCCCTTTGGGTTTGTAAAGGTGTAAATCTTTATAGAAGCAGACTGACACGTCTTCTTCCAAGGAGCTAATGACTGGTAGATTCGAACTGCTGACCTTTTGGTTAACAGCTGAGCACTTCACCACTGTGCCACCAGGGCTCTTTAGTTACTTGTTAAATCCTGTAGGTGGAATCTAGGCCACTGAGTTTGGAGATTACTAATTAAAACCTTCTTTTCACAAGGCTGAAGGATTGATTGCTAAAAGGAACTAAATTACGTAAGAGAATTTCTTTGTTCACAACTTTACTATTAATCTACAAAATATTTCCTCTATGGAATTAGAAATTAAGTTGAATTTATTTATAAATGCTACCAAAGATGATTTTTTCAAAAGAGAGCTTTCAAAAAAGATCTCCAACAATTTAGAAAACACAAAATAATAAATTTCAAATTTGAAGAACTGGTTTCAACTTGTGGCTTTCCCACAGTTAGCCGTGTGACGTTGGGAAAAGTCACTCAGCTGTAAGTGTGTTTCTTTATCTGTAAAATGGAATCCTTTTATTGGTTTAGAGCTGATGCAAACAAAACAAAATAACTATTTAAAATGTTTATCACCTAAACAGGAATTTTTCTGGCTTTACTCAAAAACACGGAGTCCAGGTGTGGTGCCTGTGGGTTAATTTAGCACTAAAAAAAGTGAGCTGCAAAATCATTGGAATCGCAAGGGCAGTGGTTTAAGCTCATCTGTCACTCTTTGTAAACCGTATGTAGGAGCGCTGTGGGACAGAACTGACTTGACAGCATTTAACATCAAGAACTTAAAATCATGGCTTATAATCATTGTTATTGTTGTTGTTAAGTGCTACTGAGTGGGTTTCAACTCATGTTGTTGTTGTTAAGTGCTGTCAAGTTGGTTCCGACTCATCGTGGCCCTGAATATGGTTTCCAAGAAACAGCTGGTGAACTTGAACTGCGAACCTTGCAGTTCAAACTGACCTTGCAGTCCAGTGTATTAACCTGCAATGCCACAACAGGAATCATTGTCACTGTTGGTAAGTGCTATCGAGTCAGTTCCAATTCATAGTGACCCCTGTACAGGGTTTCCAAGGAGCGGCTAGTGAGTTTGAACTGCTGACCTTGCAGTTTAAACTGACCTAGAGGTTGAGTGCTTTTCCTGTGCTACACCAGGACTCCTTACTAATCGTTGTTGTAGTTATGTACCGTTGAGTTGGTTCCGACCCATAGTGACCCTGTATAGGGTTTCCAAGGAGCAGCTGGTGAGCTTGAACTGCCAACCTTGTGGTTCAAACCAATTTTGCAGTCCAGTGAATTAACCCACACTGCCACGCCAGGACTCCTACTAATCGTTGTTGTTAAGCGCCTTAGAGTCGATTCTGACACATAGAGACCCTGTGTTCTCTTTTAATCAGAAATACTAATGTGAACAATTAGCTTAAATTAAGGAGGACTATCAGTTTGATTTGCATAACATGTAAAACATGCACATTTTTTGTGCTTTAATTTTTTCCATGTAAAGGAGCTCTGGTAGTGTAGTGGTTACGAATCGGGCTGTGAACTTTAAGGTCAGCAGTTCGAAACTACCAGCTGTTCTGTGGAAGAAAGATGAGGCTTTCTGCTCCCGTAAAGATTTACAGCCTCGGAAACCCTGTACAGGGTTGCTATGAGTTGGAACCGACTCTATGACACACAACAACAACAACAACAAATAAATTATAAGCTGGAGGATTTCCAAAGTCTCAAATTTAAAATCCCAAAATTGTATTTTCTTAATATACTGTGATCTACAAAAAAGAATAGAAGATATTAAGTAGCATTATACTGATTAGACTGAATCAGGTAAGATTAAAACTGATCATCTCTAATTTTTCTCCTTTTTCCTTTCCCCTGTTAGTATTAACATTCCACTTTACAGAGTGTCTGGCTCCATTTTTGATTCTAGGTATAATAGAAAAGACACTGGTATTAAATTTAAGTACAATCTAGTCTTCCATATGATTTGTTACCATGTAACTATGGCTGGAAAGGTTGCTCTTATTTATAAACATCCTCCTGAGTTAATGTTTATTTCTGCCATGTAGTCCAGATTCTTGTCCATTTCTTTTTTATTGTTCAGTTTACTGCTCACTGAATAAAAGAGATTGGATGTAATCCTGCCCAGAGGAATTTCCCCAAGCTGAGTGATGATACATTTTTAAAGCACGAGGTCTTTAATGCAATTTGTCAAGGCTATATTTGAGGTCCTGGTGCTGACTTTATTGTAACAGCCTCATTTTTTTGGTTCTCTACCACTTACCTGGAGTCCTGGTGTGGCACTGTTGGAGTCCTGGTGTGGCACTGTTGGATAAGCACTGGACTGTCAACCATAAGGTTGGCAGATCAAACACACCTGTTGCTCATTGGGAACCCCATACAGGATCACTATGAGTAAGAACTGACTTGACGGCTCTGTACAACAATAGCTATCTAATGCCCCAGCTACAGTAAGCTTCTTTTCCTGAATTCTATATGCTCGTTCCCACCTCCATGACCTTACAAGTTCTGTCCTCTCTTACTTAGTCCTTTCCTTCTTTACCTGTACTATAGCTTGCTTGTTTAGACCCTGCTGAAATATCACCTGTCTGTAAAACTTCCCCTGATGCATTAATATATAAAGAGACTTCAAAAAGTTCATGGGAAAATTCCAGAACCTTTTTTTTTTTTTTTTTGGCGTGGGGTAGGGGGATACATTGTCTTTTTATTTTTTATTTTTTTAAGTTTTTATTGTGAATTGCATGATATTTTACATGGGAGAACATCAGCTTTACATTCATCCCATCGTATTTCGTTTCATTGCAATGATTACAGTCCCCTCCATTCATCATCAAACAACCAAAGGGTACCCCCCGCCGTCAGCACACAGCCTCTCTCTCTCCCTGAGTTCAGAGTCCCCAGCTGCTCCATCTCTCCACGTCATCGTCTCTGCCTCCATCTCTGGTGTCACTGCTTCTTTGGGTAGGGCCCTGCACTTCGCTCTTCTTCCTTGATGGTCCCAGGGTCCTCGGTTCCTGGACTGCAAAATCAAGCACTCCCCTCCTTTTGTTACAGAACATCTACCTTTACATTTGCAACATTCACAGTCAGTCCTGATAGCAGTTATTCACCATTGAACCACAAGAGTCTTATCCCCATCTCCTTTCACAAGTCCTGTCTAGACAGGTTGGAAACCACTCAGTGGAGAGTCTACCTTCCCCTGCAACCTCTGAAACTAGGCTCCCTCTTGAAAGCTTGTGTAAGCCAGTCATTTCTTGCCTTTATAGCCCCCCATTTTGGGTATCCAATGTCTAAGTTGCCTATCCCTGTCAACCCTGTGTACCAAGGGGGTGGGAATGATCCCCACTGTAAAGATTCGTTCCCTCTTTTGAGCTACTGCATCCGTAAATGTAGACCAAGTTCATCAAATTGTAGCAGATTACTCTTTTTTTCCTCTTCTTTCTACCTCTAGCTGAGTTCTGACCATCCAGCCATTGAAGCCAGGTCAAGTGGGTACTGTCTGAAATTATGGGTGTTCTTGACATTCCATTATTTTATTTTATTTTAATATTTAATGTGAAATAGTGATAGTTTACATGGGAGAACATTAGTTATACATTACATTCATCCTATCTTATATTGTTTCATTGCCATGGTTACTATCCCCTCCATGCATCATCAACCAACCACAGGGTATACCCTGCAAGCCTGCCCCCCGGTCGTCAGCACAGAGCCCCTCTCCTTCTCTGGGTCTAGAGTCCCCAGCCGCTCCATCGTTCCACATCATCGTCTCTGCCTCCATCTCTGGCATCACTGTTTCTCTGGATAGGGTCCCATACTCCGCTCTGCTCCCTTGATGGTCCCAGGGACCTCCATTCCTGGACTGCAAAGTTAATTGTTCCCCTCCTTTTGCTACAAAAAGTCTACCTTTACATTTTCAAAGCTTTTAAAAAATTTTTTTAAAGTTTTTATTGTAAATTGAGTGAAAGTTTACAGGGCAGATCATCAGTTTTACATTCAACAAATCATACACCTTGTTTCATTACAATGATTATAATCCCTTCCATGTACCATCAGTTAACAGTGTTTCTCTCTATTCACTGTAGCTCTTTTTTTTTCTAAACACTCAGGCATATATAATAATTTACACCACCACAGGGCACATTCTGTAAGTCTGTCTCCTGGCGGCCAACTCTTAGTCCCTGCCTTCCCAGTCCTCAGCTGCTCCCTCTCTCCATGACCCCATCTTTGCCTTCATCTCTGGTGTTGCTGCTTCTCTGGATAGAAAATTGCATAATCATTAAAAAAAAAATTTTTTTTATTGTGAATTGAGTGAAGGTTTACAGAGTTACCCATTTTACATTCAATAATTAATACACATTTTATTTCATTTCATTGATTATAATCTCCACAATGTGACATCACTTATCCTGCTTCCGCCCTGTTTCCTATTTCCATTCTTCCTCCTTTTCTCTGTTGAAGTTTGCCCTTGGGTAAATGCTGCCCATTTGGTCTCAAATAGTTGGTTATTTGAAGGTGTGCATATCTCACTAGTATTATTGTTTCTCTGATAGACCTGGCTAGTGTTTGGCTGAAAACTAAGCCCTTGGGTGAATTCAGTCCTTCAGTATGCCTGAGTACCATAAATAAACCATTCCTAAGTGACAGGTAGGGGGCCTGGTGGCTCAGCTGCTGTTTAGACCCATCAGCCACTCCGTATGAGAAAGATGTGACCATCTGCTTCCATGGGAATTTATAGCCTTGGAAACCCAATGGGACAAGTTCTATTTTGTCCTATGATGTCACCATGAGTTGGAATTGACTCCACAGTACCAGGTTGTCGTTATTTTTCAGTGTCTATTACCATCTTCCTGAATGACACATAGCCCCTTAATAGATTCCAAATTCCGAGTCTCTATACCTTTAAAGCTTGTATAAATAAATAATGGTTGTACTCTGTCCTATAGGATCCTGTGAGTCAGAATTGGCTTTGCAACAGCAGGCTTGATAAAGTAATAATAATGAAAATACACATGAATTAAAATGTTACGTTAAAAAAGATTCACATTGAAATGATTCTGCTCATTAAAAATAAAGCAGCTTCTTTTTAAAATGGTCTTCTATAGCTGTACTTCTAAAAGAATATGAGACTATTAGATCAGGAATTGCTGGTGTGTTTCGGTGGAAGTTCATGTTAAATGCAACCATTTTAATTCTATCAGTAGAAGCAGATTTAGGGAAATTTTGTCAATTTTTATTTTCCTTCTTTTTTTTTTTTAAAGGGAGTAACTCAGATCGACAATGACCTGAAATCTCGAGCATCTGCATATAATAATCTGAAAGGAAACCTTCAGAATTTGGAGCGCAAAAATGCGTAAGCATATCAAATAGCTGTGAATAGTAGAAACTGGGAAGCATTCTAGCGTGTATTGAATTAGGTATTGCTGGGATTTAGTAAGTTCCAGTTTGTTGCTTCTGTCATCAACTTGATATGTGTTTTCAATTCATGGAGAACATTTCATTCAGGTAAAATTACAGAATGCAAGGTAATTGAAACAAACATAAGACTGCTTTATTATATTTATTAAATAATACTTGTGACTAGAACTTGGTTCGAGTTGAATTCCTTTATTTGATGTTTCAATGAAATTTTGTTGAAGTCTAATGACTTTAAATCGAATCCTTGTTTAATTGCTTATCTGCTGCCTCTTGAGTACCTTCTGACTCAGAGTGATCCTAATAGGACAAAGTAGAATTGCCCCGTAGGTTTCTAAAACCTCTTCTCGCCAGTGAGTAGCTGGTGGACTTTAACCACTAATCGTTTGCTTATTAGCAGCTGTGGAAGAATTCCCTTTTTATGATGTAAATAATAATTTTCTAAGTTTAGATGTTCACACAGGTTAATAATAAGGAGCTTTGGCTACACTGTGGTGAGACATCGGGCTGCTAACTGTAAGGTTGGTTCAAACTCGCCAGCTGATCCATGGGAGAAAGATGAGGTTGTCTGCCCCCTAAAGACTTAGTCTCAGAAACCCTGTGTTAGGGTCACTATGAGTCGGAATCAGCTCGAAGGCAGTGAGTGAGTTTTCTTAAAATAGTATGTTTGCTTTGGTAGTTCTGGTTTTTATTTGTGTGACTACTGTAAGTGTAGCTTTAAGAGTTGAACTACTCAGGTTCTGCGTTCCTCTCCCAGAGCAAGGTTTGTTGGCTATTATTCTGGAAGACCCAATGAAGACTTATTTGAAAGAGCTGCTTATTGTGCTAACTAACCAAAATTGCCAGGTATAAAACGGCAGCCAGGCTGAGGGAGGCAAACCAAAGATTGTGCTTAGATGATGTAATTTCATAATTAGGATGAAGTCGACTTTTAATTGATGTCTATTAAGCAGCAGTTTTCCAGTCAAGATGTTATGTGTGTAATCAAGAGAAATGCAAAGAGAAAATATGCCTTTTTCTTGTTGTGAAGTGCTATCAAGTTGATTCCGACTCTTAGCAACCCTGTGTAGGGTTTCCAAGTAGCGACTGGTGGATTTGAGCTGCCAACCTTACAGTTAGCAGTCCAGTGTCTACCCTACAGTGCCACACCAGGACTCCTTCTCCTCACTTTTTATCTAGTTATCTGAGATTTTTCATATACAGTAATAGCAAAAAGTTTTGCCATCAGACAATTTTGTACCTTAACGACGTGCAGCACTGAGGTGAAAGGCAAGAGTGAGGCTGGTTGTGGTGGTTCATACCAGGTGTCTGCTTGCCTGGGTTCTGATGCTCAGTGGAGCAGTTATGCAGTGATGTACTCATCCTCTGGGTTGTGATTGGTGTTGTCATTCGCCATGTTTCACATAACATCGATTTTAACAAAACAACTTGGTCTTTGGAACTTAGCCATGTCAATAAGTGAGGAGTGGTGTATAGGGAGATACTGGAAGCAACTTTTGATAAGTTTCATCAGCATGCCATTGGTTTGCAGGGATGGGAAACATTCTGCTAAAGTTTGACTTCTTATGCAATAGAAAGGAGTCCTGCTGTGGCGCTGTGGGTTAATGCGCTAGACTGCAAGGTCGGTGGTTCAAGTACGCCATTCGCTCCTTGGAAACCATATGCAGGGTTGCTATGAGTCATAACCAACTCAGCAGCACTTAACAACAACAACAACAACAATGCAATAGAAATGTTAACCAAGGCTGATCTCTTACGATATGTATGTAGTATGTGTGAGTGTGATTAGTTTGCTGTTTCTTTATTCTTTCTTACACATATTTATTGCCCTAACGATTTGTTTTTTCTTACTCTTTAGGGGAAGCTTGCTAACTAGAAGTCTAGCAGAAATTGTGAAGAAGGATGACTTTGTTCTTGACTCAGAGTATCTCATCACATTATTAGTGGTAGTTCCAAAGTATGTCTTTCTGTTGCTAAAGGCTTGTACTTGTTTAAATATTTAAAAATGTTAGTATCTGGTATTGCAATTTGAAAATTACCATAAAACCTGTGGAAAGAGACTCCAACTGTATCATTCAGTCAACCAGTGTGTACTCATATGACACAATAGAATTTAACTCATAAGTTGGAGATACTAATGATAAATTGAGATTCCAAATAAAATTTAGTAACTTGGTAGAGTTGACTCATCAAAAATTGTTAGGTTGTTGTTGTTAGATGCCGTTGAGTCAGTTCCTGTTCATACTGGTCCCTAAGCACAGCAGTATGAAACACTAGCTGGCCTTGTGCCACCCTCACAATTGTTGTTACGTTTGAGCCTGTTGCTGCCACTCTGTCAGTCCATCTTGTTGGGGGTCTTCCTCTCTTTCTCTCACCATCCACTCTGTCAAGCATGATGTCCTTCTCCAGTAATAAATAATAAATTACTTGCTTTTTTTTTTTTTTCAAATACAGATTTCAGATTTTTCAAAAGAGTAAGGAAGGTCTTTGTGTTTGTTTTTGTGAAAAGTTTTTCTGACTGGTTAGGATGAATTAGGAGCTCTGGCAGCGCAGTAAGTATGTGCCCTGCTCAGTAGTTTGAGCCCAGCAGCTGACTCCATGGGAATGAGATGTGGTAGTTTGCATTCACAAAGATTACCATTAGTTGGAATTGACTTGACAGCATTAGATTTAGGATGAATTAAGTCCCATAAAAAGAAAAGGAGAATTAGATTAGGGGTTAGCAAAATTTTTCTGTTAGGGACCAAATAGTAAATATTTTAGACTTTATGGAACCTAAGGTCTGTTGCAAGGAGCTCTGGTAGCGTAATGCTTACAAATTGGGCTGCCAATCTCAACGGTTAGCGGTTTGAAACTACCAGCTGTTCTGCAGGAGAAAGATGAGGCTTTCTGCTCCCGTAAAGATTTACAGCCTCGGAAACCCTGTACAGGGTTGCTATCAGTCAGAACCGACTCCACAGCACATAACAACAACAAGGTCTATTGCAGCTACCCATCACTTCCATGTCAACTTTCCAGCTGAAAACCAAATGGATGTGGCTTTGTTTCAATAAAACTTTCTTTACTAAAACAGGTTTAAACTCTGGGGTGCATAGTTTGCCAAGCCCTAGTATAGATGGCCCTTGATGGCTCCTTTAGATTAGGCTTTCTGTGTTCATTAATGTTTAATCATAGTAAAATGAAACCTTTGAACACTCACAGGAGATTGGGATTCTGTATTGTGTTATTATTAAACATTGTTAATGGTTTTACTTCCTTACACTTGTTGCTAAGTGCTGTTGAGTCAGTTCTAACTCATAGAGATCCTGTATAGGGTTTCTAGGGAGCAGCTTCTAGGTTTGAATTGCTGACCTGTGGTTCTCAGTCAAGTGTGATTCTACAGCGCCTTACACTAAAGCCTTGCTATTAGGGAATCCTTGGGATTCAGATCTGTGGAACTGTGGGGCCTCCTCCGAGCATCATTGCATGAATTCGTCTTATGTTGTGCTCTGCATTGTTATGTGGTTAGGAATCAGGAATACTGGAATATGTCTGATGACACCTGGAAAGGGCTGGGAGAACCTCCGTAGAATTTACAGTGGCTGCAATATTCTCTCACTTATGCATTTTTTTCCTTCTTTATTGAGAATATCGGTTTCTGAATTATTCTATGCACATGAAGAAGGGCTAATAAAACTAAGGGCTTGATTCTAAAAGTTGTGCTTTGAATTTTTGTTTCCTGATTCTTCTCTGCTATCTAGGGGCACCGACCATTTCTAGTCACTATGTCCATATGTTGTTTATACTCTATAGGAAAATAGTTATTGCCCAGGTAAAGGGTTTGCCTCATTCAACCTTTATTTTAAATTTGTTTCTGAAACTATGAGTATTCATAGTTTTCTGTACACTAGAAACATAGGACCTGGGTCACATTACATAATGCGTTACTGTCTTTCCTGTCTTAGAAACACTATTGTCAATTTTAACTCTCCAACACTGCTCCCAAAGCCAGTGGCCTCTAGAGGAGGTTGTTGCACCGTGTTTCTTGGCAATGTAGTTTACTGTTAACTTTATGTATGTAATACTTCCTGGTACTCTGTACTTTCAGTAAATAGTTTTATCTAACCTTTCTAAAGACCACTTACTAGAAATGATAGGGATTTTAACGTCTTTTTCTTATTTTTTTAAAAATGAGATCACGTGTATCAACCATAGCATTTGACAGTATACGGGATCCGAACTTTGCTTTCTTCTTTTCCAAACTTAGTTCTAGGATGTACCTCTCTTGCACTGCTACTGGGTATGAGAGGGTGGTGAGTTGTATTTGGAATTTATTCTCAGTAGGAAACTAGGTGATGCTTTGGCTAGGTATGAAGTGCACTTGCCTATAGCTAAATTTCTTATTTGCTCCATCATTTTTTTCTCATTCTGAATATGGCAAGAAATAGGATTATTTTTCTCCAGTGCTTAATTGTACTTTGTTTTTGTTTTTTTTTGCAGGTTAAACCACAATGATTGGATGAAGCAATATGAAACTCTAGCTGAAATGGTAGTCCCAAGGTCTAGCAAGTAAGTAGTAGTAGTCTCTGTAAAACTGTTTATTTCCTAGAATTCGTTTTATAGTTTGGATCAGGAAATCTCTTAGCTGTCTTTCTCTTGCAGTAAACTTACTGCCTAAGAACCAATATTCTCAACTTGTAAAGAAGGGAATTGTAGTAACGCTATAGTTATCTAATTTTAAATCTGGAAGGATCGGCACAGTCTTTTTGACCCACTGTTGTTTATATATGTAGAACTTTGAGGCCAGAGAGTTGAAGGTATCTATCAGACTCACACTGGTCACTAGTGGCAGGACTTGTACTGGAACTCAGATCTCTGGTGTGGGTCCTTTTTCTGCGACATTGCACTGCCATCTGAACATTTTTCATTCAGTTAATTGTATGCCTGCTTTGTAACAGTAATTCCTCATTTTCCCTTGAAAAGAAAGTATGCCAGAATGGCACTAGCATGTCCTGCCAGAGTTCTGCTTCTACCTCCAAATCTTCACCATCATTTTCCAAGGAGCATAGAATTTGCAGAACCTGTTCTTTCCTTTAAAAAACAAAACATAAGCCTCAAAGTTTTTTGTGAAGCTCTTTTTTATTTATGGGTTTACAAGATGTTGTCTAATTTGATATAGACAGCAATTCTGTGAAGTGGTGTAGGCAGTTACTGTTCCAGATGAGGAAGTCAAAATGCAAAATGATTAAATAGTTGCCTAAAATACATGTAGCAGTCAAGAAATCAAAAGTCGTATCGCATTAGGCCGATCTGCTGCACAAGACCTCTTAAAGTATTTTAAGAACAAAGATGTCAGTTTGATGACTAAGGTGCACCTAACCCAAGCCATGGTATTTTCATAACCTCATATGCATGTGAAAGTTGGACACTGAATAAGGAAGACCATAGAAGAATTGATCCATTTTAGTTACGTTGTTTGAGGAGAATATTAAAAGTACCATGGACTGCCAGAAGAACAAACAAAGCTGTGTTGGAAGAAATACAGCCAAAGTGCTCATGGACAGACATCATCTCTCATACTTCAGACATATTACCAGGAGGGACCAGTCCCTGGAGAAGGACATCATGTTTGATAAAGTGGAAGGTCGGAGTAAAAGAAGACCCCCGACGAGATGGATGGCACAGTGGCAGAAGCAGTAGGCTCCAGCATAACAATTGTGAGGCTGGCACAGGACTGGGAATTGTGTAGTTCTGTTGTGCACAGCATTGTTAGGAGTCGAAATTGACGAGATGGTGCCCAACAGCTACAAGACTCATGACTCTATGTATCCAGTGGTTCAGTGTAGAATGCAGCCAGTGACTCCAGAGTCTCTACTCTTTTGGCTCCACATTGTTTTCCTTTGTTCTGCCATTGCCGCATACGGTGTTCTTTGGGAAAATATTTAAATACACTGTATCTGCAACCCACAAAACATTCTTTTGTGTGTATATGCCTCCAGAGGAGGCAGCCTGGTGAAAGGAAGGTATAGGAGATAGGAAAGAGGTGGTGTTAGTAAGGCCAGGCCCATGAAATATTTTCTTTCCCAGTTTCATTGTGTCATGTAGGAGGTAGCTTAGTATAATGGAAAGAGTCCTGGACCCAGGGATCTGAGTTCTATTGCTGGTTCTCTTGCTGTGTGACTTGGGGTAAGTCTTTTAACTTCTTTGGGCCTCATTTTTTATCTGTAAAGTGAGCATAGTACCTTCCCTGTATATCTCATGAGGTTATTTTAAGACTTGGTGGTGGTTGTTGTATGCCGCTGAGTCAATTCCAACTCATAGCCTGTATATGGTTTCCAAGAGCAGTGTTTATCCTAGGACACACCAGGGTGTAAGACTTTGGTGTGGGGTACACAAAATATAAAATGTGGTATTATTGTTATTACAGTTTCACAAATACTGATACTTTACAGGATCAGCACTGGACTGCGAACCACAAGGTCGGCCGTTCAAACCCACCAGCTGCTGCTCCGAAAACCTGAATTGGGTCTCTATGAGTCAATACTGACTCGACGGCACTTAGCAACAACATGCCCATTTTGGGGAAAATACTTTTCAGTGCAGCCCTGCACATGATAAACTGAAGACTGCATTGATAACTTTGCCCTTAAAGTAGTTAATCCTGACAGATGTTACTGTCTCACTTGTGCTCTGTAGGGCATTAAATTCATGTCTAGATGGCAGGTAAAGGAGGCGAGTAAGGACTCAGTACACACACAATGTTCTTCACTTTGTACATAGGCAAAGCCAGATTTCCAGGAAAACGATGTGTAGGCTAGTTAAGTAGTACAGATTTTTTCCCAAAGAAGGACTAAAAATGCTACATGAGCTGGAACAGCAGAGGAAGGAAAGTTGACGAGGAGAGAAACGGACTGTATGGTTAACTGACTCCAGGATCATGTTCCTCCTTTGTCATGAGACCAGAACTGGGTGGTGCCCAGCCACCATTACTGCATGTTTTGAATAAAGGTTTTGTAGAAAATTTCTGATCAAAAAGGCGAAAATGCAGAACAGAATTTCACATTTTCATGGAATCCGGAATTTCTGGAGTCATACAGCCTGAATGACCCCCTGGAACTATTGCCATTGGTTAATCTTTAAACCTTATACACAAAATATCCCCTAAAGGCTTCTTAAAACCAAACAGAAGTGTAGCATAATGAGTTAAGAATGTCTTCTTTGAGCATTGTGCTATTTTAATTGTTGTTGTTAAGTACCATCAAGTTGATTCCGACTCATTGTGACCTATGTAGAGTTTCCAGGGAGCAGAGCTGGTGGGTTTCAACTGCTGACCTTGTGGTTCACAGTCCAGTGCCGATCCTACCGTGCCACACAAGGAGTCTAGTTACACAGGATCAAATTGACAATAGCAACTGATAAGATGAGATAGGAAACCGAGGGGGCAGTGAGTTTATTTTACTGGAGGAAGAACAACATGGAAAATGAGGATCAGAATTGTGCATCTTAGAAGTGTATAATTAGTATCACTGAATCGTACATGTAGGAATTGTTAAATTGATACATATTCTCATCAACAACAAAAATAAAATTATTTAATAATAATTATAAAAAAAAAAGAATTCTAAGGTTTCAGAAAACAGTTTACCCTTTTACGGAGTTTTCTTTTGGAAGTAAGTGGTTTGTGACCCCCAAATAAAGTCAAAGTCTTAAAGTGTCAATAGTGATGCTTATGTATTACTTTTGTTTTGCAGTTTTAAATATTACAGATATAAGATACTTGTAGCACAAGTAATACTAACTCTGTGCATGAAGCTGGAAAAAACATTACTTTGGAAATTTAGATCTTTTTTTTTTTTTAATTAAAATGAATTCAGTGAAGGTTAACAGGCAAGATTATCAGCTTTACTTTCAACCAATCATATATTTTGTTTCATCTCAGTGATTACACTCCCCGCCCTGCAATAACAGTTACTGTACTTTCATCCTGTAACTTCCTTTTTACATGTTATTTTTCACAAATGAACATAGCAAAAATATTTGATGTGCACATACAAAACAAAAATGTACGTATCCGTTTAAATGTCCAAAGGGCACATTTTGGAAGCCAGCCTTCTGCTTGCAGGTACACAGCCTTTCTCAGTCCTTGGGCTTAGAGTCCTCAGCTGCTCTATCAGAGATTTAGGTCTTTTGGAAAATATTTTAGCAAGTTTAAAGGGAAAACTGTTGGGCCCCAGATGGCCCTGTCCAGTAGGAGACCCCAAAAAGATGACCAGGACTCAAGTTTGATGCAACAGCAAGAGGTTTATTTGCCAATGCTCTGGGGTCCACCTTCACTCACAAAAGCAGGAGACAAAGGCGACCCCCCTTTACAGTACAAGCCAGTTTTTATAAGGTAACAATTGGCAAAGTATGAGATGTTCTAGTTTAATTGGTCAGTTTTACTGGTGGTCTTTGTTCTTAGGCTAGGGTAAAGGAAAACATCAGGCATCTGGCCTTGGGTCCTGTCTATTTCTTATCTGGTTCTCGCTGTTGCTAGGGGTGAAAGGATAGTTTAAGGCAGCATGAGCTGATTTAGCACGTTCCTGAACAGGAGGACATGTTCAGGCTAATGTACAGAATAGGGATTGACCTCGTCTCTAGAGGGAACTAAAAACTGAGGCCTTATCTATTTAAAATGCTTTTCTGAGCCTGACTAGAGTTTAGTCAAGCAACCTCTAGGTAGGCAAAATCAGGTAAAATCAGTTAGGTCCTTACAAAACATGTCAGGCAATAACATTTTAATTGCAGGCAGTACTTGTCTTTTGGATGACTCATTAAGTGCACTCTGACCCTGAGCGTTCCCTGACCTTTGTAAACACCCTCACAAACTTAGTGGTGCTTTGCAGAGGTTTGTATTCGGGGAGCTAGATTCCAAATGATGAAGGCCTGAAAAAAATGGTTCTAGCCATTGTATGAAGAAAAGATTCTCTTATGAATTGGAGGAGGGGTTGGAAAGATAACGTTTATGAAGAAAGACAGGGACGATACCTTGGGGCAGTGGGACAGATTGAACGGAGAGGGGGATAGCAGGTTTTAGGAGAGAGATAAGTAGCAGTGGGAATTTCCAGAGAACATTAGTAGTCATGTGGTTGACTGAAGATGCTATGTGGAATATCTAAAAAACATTGACTAGAGTGTTGCTACTTCTACAAAACAGGAGTAAAGGCACAGAGAAAGTTTGGGTTATATATTTGAACCTAGTGGAACCTTTTAATGTTACGTTTGTGAGAAACATCTATACTGACAAGCGCTCAAGTAATCCAATCTGCTCATCTTAGTGAGAGTGAGGTTTTCTTTATTCTATTTTGCAAAATCGGGAGCCCAGCCCCATAGACAAGGGCAGGTGCTCCACATGGCCTGCTACAAATGGTTTTTCTTCTTGTCTCCAAAAAGCCCCTCCTCCAGTTCCCTTTCCCCCATATACAATTCTATGCCATGTCCCATTTTCCTTCCCCCCAGAGAAGCCAACGTTGCTTGCCCATTGTCTTAATGGCTGTATTCTTATTTCAATTTCCTAGTCCTAGAACAGC